GCGACACATGACTGTACCCTACAGTTCTGAATTTGAATTGGAAGTATCAATATATATATACAACCTAGGTCTTTCTACTGAAAAGGCTTAGAAACAATGACCAGCTGAGAAATAAGCCTCCCCTAGCACCCAATTTGTGGTCTTGAAATTGCACTTCCCCTAGAAGAAATCAAGGCTGCTTGGAGATGTGGCTGAATCCAGGTCTGACACAGGAAATATATGACATGAGCCTGAAACATCTTGTCACACCGTAAAGCAAGGAAGCTCTTGACTATGAAGGTCTCATGTCAGAAGGACACAGGAGCTAACTCTAAGAGCTTCCCACCTGAAGATGGGAAAATTTGAGCATCAGTCAAGATAATGACAGCAATGGATTGAAACACTTCAAGTATATTTACATCCCTGAGCTCATAATCACTCTTACTTAAAAAAATTGGATTGGCCACCACTGGAGAATGCTAGGGAACCAACTAAGTATTTTGAAAACTGGTAAACAAAAGGAAACAATCCAGCATTTATCTTGCCTTTTCCATGCGAACCAAACCACTCGGTAACTAAATAGTGACAAGAAAAAGTTTCTTTTAATAAATGTATTCTTCTAGTGAATAAAGAATGAATGATATAATTAGAATATCACAATTTTGCCACTCATTAGGAATTAATGGATAGAGTACTATTCATCGATGGCTGCTAACATCACAAAAAGAAACCAGACATTCCTTCCTGATGAAAGAAAACAACACCATGATGAAGTGGTCTTGCCAAAAAGGCTGATTATGTTCAAGCCTCTAGATTGAACTACCAATTCCCAGGAAATACAGAGACAGCGAAAGATGTTAAATTACAATACAGGGGGGCATTCATCAAAATGCAGACTTTGGGCAACTACAGGATTAACAACCCCCCACCTGACCATGCCCCAACAAATACAGTGCAATGGGGAAAAAAGAAATGGAGGAGATATCTAATTAAAAGAGACAAGACTGGGGCTGGCCTGGTGGCATAGTGGTTAAGTTCGAGCACTCTGCTTTGGTGGCCCGGGGTTCGCAGGTTGGAATCCCAGGCGCAGACGGACACACCACTCATCAATCAAGCCATGCTACCGTGGCATCCCATATACAAAATAGAGGAAGATGGGCACAGATGTTAGCTTAGAGCTAATCTTCCCCAGCAAAAAGAGGAGGATTGGCAATGGATGTTAGTTCAGGGCCAGTCTTCCTCACACACACACACAAAAAAAGATAAGACCTATCAGCCACATTTTGTAGACATCATGGGGATCCTGATTCAAACAAATGTAAAAAAATTAAGACATTTATAAGAATTGGAATGTAAACACTGGATATGTAATAAGATAGAGAATATTAAACTTTTAGGTGATAAAAGTATTACGGCTATGTTTCTAAAAGAGTCTTTCTTAGAGATACATACTGGAATATTTACAAGTAAAATAATACAGCTGGGATTTGCTTCAAAATAACAAGGGAAGGGAGGAAGTGGACGCGGATATACATGAAACGAGACTGGTCATGAGTTGCTAATGTTGAAGGCGGATGGATATGTAAGGGTTCATTATACTATTCTTTCAACTTTTGTTAATGTTTTAAACTGTCTGTAATAAAAAACTTTTAAGAAATGTACATATGCTGTGGTCCTGCACTTAACACTTGTGGTCAGGGAGGCAAGTACAAGACCTGTCACTGCAGTGTTGTTCCTAACATGTAGTGAAAAACAGGACTCAACCTCAATGTCTATCAAGAGAATCGCTAAACTAACTGTGCTCTCAGTTCTAACGAGGGCAGCAGTTAAAAGGCATCCAGTGCAGCCTGACAGCTCTGACGCAATACTCTGTAGCTTCTTATCTGAAAGGGGCAAGAGCACAGAGTGTGCCTCTAACACCTACAAGCTGTGTGACCTTGGGCAAGTAACTTAACCTCTTTGTGCCTCAGTGTTTCCCCTTCCCATGGAGTTGATAATCATGTTTAGATCATGTTTGACGATTAAATACCTGTTAAGCCATTAGAACAGTGCCAGGATCCTGGTAAGCGCTACAGAAGTAGTAGTAGTCGTCGTAGTATTGTATTTAGCGCTACAGAATCTAGTAGTAGTAGTCGTAGTATTGTATTTATTCCTGAAATGCCGGCATTTATCCCGCCTAGGTTCGTAGCGCATCCGGCATCCGCCGCTGCCCTCGCCCCGCCCCGCTCGCCCGGGGACTCACCCTGGGCAGGACCAAGCTCGGACCAAGGACTCTGGTACCTGGGCAAACGTGGCATCACGGACCACTGCCCCCTCCGCCGCGCGCGGACACTTCCGCTGCCTCTCCACGCGGCTCGGAAGCTCTCTCATCTCGTTGATTTCCTCGCTTTGGGCTCATCCAGGGCAAAGAGGTTAAGTAGAAGACTCTCTCTCCCTTGCCCCCTGCCCAAAAGTCCTGGGACCTCCCCGTTGGACGTGTGCCTGGCTCTTCCCTTCTAATTCCTAGCCCCACCCCACCCCCCCCTTGCCCCACAAATGGATTTCGTTTGGTGATCAGAGGAGCACCAAGAAACCTAGAGAAGGGCTCACCTGTATTGCCTAGGCAACCTCTTGAGATCTCTACTCACCCACCTGGCCTTCAGGTCTTTCTACAAGGGCACAGGGAAGTGAAGTAACTTGTCCACAGTCACACAGCTAGATAGTAACTAACAACAGCTGCGCTGTGCTACCAAGTTGCAAACTTGACTCTTCCTCCCATTCTCCTTCCCCTCCACTTTCCCAGCGCTTCAGTCCCATCAGGCTTTGGCTGCCTGCACTCCCTGCACCCTCACTCTCCAGCCTCACACCCAACCATTAACATTACCTGACCCTCCAGGAATCTATCCATTTGTTCCTCGTGTTCCAACAGGTTAGCTGCCCACCCCCCCTCCCCAATGCTTTCAGGACACAGCTAGTGCCAAATAATTACTCTGACACCTATTTGAGTAGCATCATCTATGTTTTCTAGATGAGGAAGAAAAGAATAATTTTCCAGGTAGGAAAACACAGTTCCCAGGCACTTAGCAGGAAAGAGCACCAGAAGGGGAATCAGTCAGTCTCGAATACAAACCTTTGCCATCTCACAGGCATTCGATGTGGAGTGGTCACTTCATTTCACCACGCTCAGTTTACTCAACTATAAACGTGAATGGAAGATACCTATGCCTTCCTCTTCTAGGGTTATTGTGGGGATCATGTGACAAACCCAATGGGAAAGATATTTTTATCCCATACTTTAGGGCCTTCGCACTGGCTGATCCCTCTTCCTAAATGTCCTCCTCCTAGACAGCCTTCAGCTGACTCCCTGACCTCCTCCAAATCTTAGCTCAAATGCCTCCTCCTAATGAAGCCTCCCCTGACCACTCTATATAATGAAACCTCACTCCTCCTTTATCCTGCTCCACTTTCTTGTTTCCAAAGCACTTTATCACCTTCCAACATGGTGGACCAGATCAGTGAAACAGAATCTGAAAAAAGCAAAACATCCCCAAATGTTTATCAAATGTTTATCCCTTCAATTTTCTCTTTACTGCAGGCTTGCCTATCAGGCTCTTTCTTCTTCCTGTCTCTCTCCTCCTCTCTCTCACCCATTGGGTGAGAGGCCAACAGATTATCTGCCATTCTTTGCTTTACCTTTACCCCTTTGGCCTCTGTTTGGTGGCTGCTTTCTCCTCTGTGAGCTTTTCTTTGCCTTTCTGAGTAGGTGAGAGAGTAAGGGGCTGTCTGAGCACTGGAGTTGGAGTCCCAGAAGGACCAAGCCCAAGTTCAGTGTTGAAGGTAAGTGTGGTATGTAGCAGCACCATAGGTAAGGACACCTCAGCTGGGCCCTTGTCCTTGTGTCCTGAGATGCTCAGAGAGCCCAAGGGAGGACTGGCGGTGAGGGCTGGCAGGTCTGCAGTGTGCTCCTAAAGATGCAACAGCTTTCCCTTCACCCTGAGAGCTCATGTATGGAGGAGGGGGGAGGAAGAACAGAAACTGTAGCAGCAGCTTCTTCCTGAAGCAAACACTTGTAGGTACTGTTTAGACTTCCTGCGTGAAGATTTGGCTGAATTTGCCTGTGCCAGAGCAGAGGACACTGCATTGTTTCCCAAACCCACCTCACCCCACCTGGCCACTGCACTTCAGGGGCCTCTCAGTCCTCTTAAGGCGGGGCAAGCAGTGGGCCCCTGTGGGGGGGACAGTTTCAGGGACCACATGTTGATGCAGAGGTTGCAGGAGGAAGAAGGATGGGAAGGAAACTGATCTGCTTGGCACCTCTAGCATATCTGAAGGACAATATCAATACTCAAGGCTGTCTGAGGGCTGATACTCAGAGTGGGTTCCATGAAGCAGCAGCAGCAGCATCACTGGGAGCTTACTAAAAATGCAGATTCCTTGGCTCCACTCTGACCTTTTGAATTAGATCTGTATTTTAACAAGATCCCAGGTGATTTGTAGATACTCTAAAATTTGATAAACATTAGATCATCTAGATAAAATCTAGATAATCTGAATTTAGCTAATTGTTCTATTCACAAATGAAATAGTCAAGGAATTTTAAAGTTATTTTTTGTTATGGTCCCTAAGCTATAAGGAAAACCAAATAGATATACACATACATATACATACACACATGTATACTTTTTTAACTTTTTTTTATAAACTTCAAAGACAAACGTTTAGCACAGTAAACTTTAAGCTGAACTTTTATTTCCTCCCTTTTGAAATTCTCATTCAGATTTTGACTGTGGAGAAAAGTATAATGGACTATCAGCAGAGGCATTTAATATCCTATTTAGTTCTAACATGATAGTTATAATTCGACCTACATTCATTAGATGGTATTATTTCTTATGTAAAGCATAGTGCATGTTTATTAAGAGCTATGTTTTAAGTGCTTTAGAAGTTTGTATTAATTTAATCTTATGTACCCTAGGAGAAGGGTACTGTTATCCTGTTTTATAGATGGGGAGACCATAGCATAGGGGCATTCAAATGAGCTGCCCAAAGTCACACAGCTCACAGATGGAGAGGCAGGATTTGAACCTAGACAGCCTGGTGCCAGAGCTTGTATTTAACTCTGACAGTAAATAGCCTGAGCATGCTGGTCTCCCCAGTTAAGCAGCAAGCTGCCTGAGGTTGCAGGCTCTTTTTCTTTATAGAGCCTCAATGACGCTGCTTGCAGCGGCATTCAGAGTTGCTGATAACCTCTGAAAGGCAGTGGCAGGGGAATGCTGACAGAAAAGACTATGAATAAAAGAGGTACATTGTAAAGATTTTAAAGTGTCCTGTCCTCTTATTCATTATTTATAACAAAAATGGGAACCTTAAATATGGTAATGACCTGCAATTAGAGATCAAATGGGACATAGATTTCTAAATCAAGATTATAGGTTTCACACTATGGATAATGCTGCTTGGTTAATGAGTATGCCACCCCTTCTGCTGAAAGCACCAAAGAGACCATCCATCACATTCCTAGGGGAGACCATGGCAATGTTTCCTATGGGAATGATTCTTACTCCCCAAACCTTAAATGTGTTTAAAATGTAACTTTTACAGGAAAAGAAAAAGACTCACCTCTGAATATCATTTGAACTTACCCAATCTTAAAAAAGTATACAGAGATACTAGTCTTTTACAGTTGTTCAATATTCAGTATTACTCAAGAACAGCCCCTCTGTACCAATTTATTTCCAGGTAAAATTTGGTCCCTTTAAGGGAAATCATTAGAAATGAACCAAGGGAGAGGGGAGAAGGAGGCTGCCTGGCAACTACCCACACTCAGTCATCCACCCAGGAGACACCAGCATCTGGTCTGCAGACAAGCTACTCATTCCAAAGCAAAACATATTTGATAAGAACACATAAGCCACTTGAAAATCTTACTTTCCAAGATGGCCCCATTTAGGGGCCTGGGAGTCCATGGAATTAGTCCAGTTTGGCAACAATATGGATTCTGAAATGCCTAATGAGGTTGCAATGGTGACTGAAGGCTTTCCCACACTCATCACACTCATACGGTCTCTCTCCAGTGTGGCTTCTCTGATGTTTTATAAGGAGGGTTCGCCTACTGAAGCTTTTACTGCACTGACTGCACTGATAGGGTTTCTCACCAGTGTGGATTCGGAGATGCTGGAAAAGCCCTGCGTTCTGACTGAAGGCTTTACCACACTCATTACACCGATAGCGCTTCTCTCCAGTGTGAATCCTCTGATGCTGCACAAGGTATGAGCTCAGGCGGAAGGCTTTTCCACACTCTTCACATTCATATGGTTTCTCCCCCGTGTGGATTCTTCTGTGTCTAATGAGGCCATTGCTGGCACTGAAGGCTTTCCCACACTCCTTACATTGATAGGGTTTCTCTCCTGTGTGGCTCCGCTGATGTTCAATTAGGCCTGACCTCTGGCTGAAGGTCTTCCCACATTCTTCACATTCGTATGGCTTCTCCCCAGTGTGGATTCTCTGGTGCTGAATGAGGACTGAACTCTGAGTAAAGCTTTTCCCACATTCATTGCACCTGTGACGTCTCTCTCCAGTGGCGTGTCCCCTCTGCTTTTCTACCCTGCTGTCCCGTTTACAAGTTTCTCTACACTTAGATTCTAGAGGAACATCTCTTTGGAGTCTGCTATTCCCAAAATGTTCCATTTCTTTTAAGACTTCTTGCTTCGATGCCAATGCCTGGTTTTCAGGTACAGTTTCACCATCTGAAATAATAAATGGACCAGACAATGTCATCTCTTTCCTTTATGAAAGAGTACAGGCATGGGATGGGGAATAGGAAGATTCATACCTAACACACACCCTTTAGGAATGCAAAACTGGCAGTGTAATGTACAGAGGGGCTAAATTGGGATACTGAGGCCAGCAGAGGAAGCGGTCATCAGCACTGCTGAAATGGCTGAGGGGGTCACCCGGAGAAGGCAAGGCTCCCAGAGAAGATGTATGCAAGCAGGGACTACAGAGTGCTTCCTACAAAGCAGGCACTGTTCTAAGTGTTTTAACATATGTTAACTTATTAAATCTTTAAATGACTCTATGACTGAGGTACTATGATTATCCCCATTTCATAGATGCATAAACTGAAGAGATAGGGAGGTTATTTTCTTTTTAATTTTTTATTTTTTTGGTGAGGAAGACTGGCCCTGAGCTAACATCTGTTGCCAATATTCCTCTTTTTTTTGTATGTGGGACGCTGCCACAGGATGGCCTGGTGAGTGGCGTGTAGGTCTGTGCCTAGAATCCAAACCTGTAAACCCCAGGTTGCCAAAGCGGAGGGTGCAAACTTAACCACTATGCCACCAGGTCGGCCTCCTCAGGGAGGTTATCTGACCTGCCCAATGTCACAGAGCTACTAAGTAGCAGTGTTTAAATTCCATCCCAGGCAACTTGCCCCTCACAGTCCACAGTTTTAAGTATTACCCTGTACAGAGCCACTGGAGATCTCTGAATGGACCCATCAAAGTCCTTACCTGGTTCTCCAAACTGGTGAGGACCAAAAGATTCACATTTGAGCTGTGTCACCATGGACTGAAGCCGGATGGCTGTTGATTCCTGCTTGGACTTCAGATTCACCACATCCCCTGAGAGCACTTCAGAATGTCCATGTTCATAATCTGGGGCCTGAAGGCACATAGGTATATTTGGGTTCATTAGAGAAGGACTTATAGGAGCCCAGGCTAATACTCAATGAAAGAGATTATATTAAACCATATGAAATATTTTGTAGAGAAATGAGACAGGGGAAGGCCCAGAGTTTTAATTCCACCCAAGAGCAGAAGGGGAAGAACAAGAGTGGCCCTACGTGGTATGGTGGTTTAAAATATGTTCACCAGTTCTATGATACTCCTTCCTTTAAAGAGTGGAGCCTAATTCCCCTCCCCTTGAGTGTGAGCTGTACCTAATGGCTCATTTCTACTGAACAGAATGTGTGGCAGAAGTGATGGTATAAAACTTCTGAGACTAAGTCATAAAAAGCATTGTGGCTTCATCTTTCTCTCTTTCTCTCTCTGGGGGAAGCCAGCTGACAGGTGGTGAGGACACTCAATGAGCCCTAGGCAGAAACCCACATGGCAAAGAACTAAGACCTCCTGCCAACAGCCAGTGAGGAACTGAGGCCCCCCGACCAACAACCATGGGAGGGAGCCATCTTGGAAGTGGATCTACCAGCCTCAGTTAGATCTTCAGATGACTACAGTCTTGGCTGACATCTTCACTGCAACCTCATGAGAGATCCTCCTAAGTAGCTCCCCAAATCCTGACTCACAGAAACTGTGAGATAACGTTTGTTTGTTTAAGCCATTAAGGCTTCAGGGTAATTTGTTACGTAGCAACAGAGGACTAATATATGTGGCGATAGACAACCAACCTGGGTCACCAAACATCACCCTTCATTTAGTATTCAGGGTCTAAGAGCCCATCTTCCTTCTCTCACCTGGTTCTCTGGTTCACTAAGCTCTCGCTCCAGATCTTCAACCACAGCTACTGCCTCCTCCCCACTCTTGGGATGGTGCTCCTGCACCCAGGTCTGGAGCTCCTCAGGCAGGATGGTCAGGAACTGCTCCAGCACCAGGAGCTCCAGGATTTGCTCCTTGGTGTGGGTGTCTGGCCTCAGCCACTGATGACAGAGTTGCCGGAGCCGGCTCAGTGCTTCTCGGGGACCAGGAGTCTCTTGGTAACAAAAGTGCCTAAAAAGTTGGCGGGAGGCCTCCTGGCCAGAAAAGCTATTCTCTTGAAGGTAGGTTTCTTGGTCCCAGGTAGGGTCTTCCTCCACCTTCACAATCTTAAATCCATCCTGTTCTTCTGCAGCCATTATTAATTTAGAAGGCTCACTCCAGCTTGGGGTGAAAGGTAATTGATTTAAGAATCCCTGATTTAATCTTTAGAAGGATACACCTGATGACAAAACAGTACTTATTAATGGAAATATTAGAAGTAGTGGTAAAAAAAGCAAAGTATAGAAACGATGAATATTACACTATCATTGATGTCAATTAAAAGTATATATAGGATTTTACTTACACTATATGTTTAGAAACTGGAAAAAAGTGTATGGCAGAATACATTAATGGCCCCAATTCTTTACCCTTCCTGTTGCCATGTACTCTGCAGTGCCCTTCCACTGTGATTCTGATCTCAATCATGTGACTTGATTTGGCCAATGTGATACTAGCAAGTGTAATACAAGCAAGAGGCTTGAAAAGTACTTTTATGATTGACCCTGCTTGCCCTTGCCCTCTACAATTGCTAGGAGGAGAATCTGCTGACTTTCAGATGATAGGAGACATGTAGGACAGAGCCAGATCACCCCAGTGGGGCAGATGGACTATTCTAGGTCAGCTAACAGCCAGCCAACTCCCAGACGTGAGTGAGCCTAGCCGAGATCTGCAGGGTTGCTTGGCGGACCCATAGCTGACTGCAGATATAGAAGTAAGCCCTGCCCAGATCAGCTGAACCCACAGATTCATGTGCTAAATAAATGTTTACTGCTGTATGCCACCGAAGTTTTGTGGTTGTTATACCACATTATTATGGCAATGAAAAACTGATATAGAAGGGTAGCCTCTGGGGAGGGAACTAGGTAACTGCAGAACAAGAGAGGAAGAGAAATTTACTTTTCATGGACTACCCTCTGTACTTTTTCTCATTTTTGTACCATTTGAAATAAAGTACTTATTCCAAGAAAATAAATGAACAATAAATAGCAGTGATTTAAAAGCTTGGTAGACAATCAATATATGGTAGCTTTAAGTGAAGAGAAGGACACATAAAACTAGCTATAATATCAAATGATGAGGGCTATAATAGAGGCTTCAACCAAATATCCTGTGAGTAAAGAGTAGGAAAAAAATAAGTCTGACTGAGTATGGAGCAGTGAAACAATGTGGCTTAGAAGCAAGTACATTTGCATTAGGCCAAAAATAATGAATAAGAATTTGTCAGGCAGAGAAAGGCAGTGGGAGGAGATTTAACAGCACAGGCCAAGCAAATAACATGACCACAAGTATTTAAAGTTACACTGCATAGTGGCTCTAAGACAGGCAGGGGGTCCTGGTGGCTGAACTATAGAGTGTAGAGTGTGGATAGAAAATGTGTGAAAAGAGATGAGGTTGGAAAGATACATTGTGCTGGAATAGAAAACAGCCTTGAACTCTAGGCTAAGATGTGAAGGCTATATTACATATGGAAAATCAAGGGGCATCAAGGTTTTTATTTCATTGTCATAGTGTTAGATCTGTATTTTAAAGGAACACTGAATAAGATTCAGGACGGAAATGGTAAGAATACTTTGTAGGGTTGTGGCAATTTAAGTTGGGAGTCTTAATGGTGGTTACACTGATATAATGTTTACTTTAGTGGTGGAATTTAAGTTTTATATATGACTTTAGCCCTATGTTATAGAATTGTTAAGGTCTGAGAGAATTTGGAAGTTTTTCAGTTATACTTTATTGAGGGAAAATGTATTTATTCCATTCATTCAAATACTGTGTGCCTACCAGATGCCTGGCATAGTGTAGGCACTTAGGTCAAGACAATGAGAGGAAACAGACATGGTCCTTGCCTTGATGGTATTTACAGTGGTAGAGATACAGACTTTAGCACAGTATTTACATAAAATTATGTTACAATGTTGAGAATATGGAGAGTTACAAAGATTGTGGGACTTATTCTTTGTCAGTGTCCAGGGCCAACTGTATTGTTTTTTACACCTTACTGCAGCATCTGGATCAGCTTTGTTAAGTGGTCAGTCCAGAAAGACCATTAAGTCTGAATTTCTAACTATGAATTTGCATTAGATTCCATAATTATTAAAAATGTGACTTCTCATGGGGTTAGGTTTACAGGCAAAAACTGTTCTGCAAATATGGGTTAATATTACTGAGAAACCATGGAGATTGTTTTTTTTTTAACTTGAGCACCACAGGCAATCCCTCACATACCCAAAGATGGAGAGGGGCAGCCTCTCCATCTGCTGTGTTGTTCTCCCCACAGTTGGTGACTTAGGATTTATCTCCTGATCTTGTGCCACTTTATCACTAGTGTGGTGCTGGCCCACTGTCAGGGCTCCTTAGATGTTCTCTGGATAAATAAATGAACTCTCCCTTTCTGTCTCCCTTTTCATTTCATCAAGCCATCGCAAGGACAAGGGAGGGAAGAAGGGAAAATGCCCTCTTTTTCCTCTCCCCCATGCCACCCCTGCTCCCAAGATCTGTATGCGCTACCCTGTGTTCCCAGCCAGTTCTCTCAGGTCTTACTGTCTCCTCTCTCAACCATGCCCCAACCTGCTACAGATCCCAGACACCTCTTATAACAAAATGCCTAGAAGACTTACACGTCTGGACTTGCCACAAAATTTTGGATGAATCTTTCTTCAGTGTTTTCTTGACCTTATTTATTCAATTATATGCCCTGATTTATTCAATTTTGTACAATTTGCTGTCATCTGATTTCCTAGCAAGGAGCAAGTATTGATACACATCTGATGGAATGAGTTCTTTAAAATCACCTTTAGAGAAACACTACAGCAGAGCAAATAATGTTCAAATCATGTGGCCTCTCTAAAATGGGACTGACCATAGCATCCCTCTCATGGGGCTGTTGTGATGATTATATAAGGTAATGCATATAAAAACATTAGCACAGTACCCTGGTCCATAGCAATTTCTAAATAAATATTAATTACCAGGTATTATTAACAAAGCAGTATTAATAAGCGAAATATCCTCTTTTTATAGAAGAAGTAGGCCTAACAAAATAAAACATTTAATTCATAGGCCAATACTCAGTGGACAGTTGAAAATTCTGGAAGAAATATTCAAGAAAGACCAGGGCATACCATGACCAGTGGTGGCCTTCCAGATATGTGCTGAAGCTCACCTCTAGATCCCATGAGGGGCATCCACCTGAACATCCCAACAGCAGCTCAAAAGCAACCATTGAAGATTGGATTCAGATTTCCAGGGCAACATGGCACAGCCAGTTCATGCTTTTAATTACCAATTCACTCCCAACATTAGGCATTGGGAGATGATACATAAAAAGAGACAAAGAGAAAGACATGGCCAGCCACAAATACAAGATAAAAATCTCAGTGGACCAGAAATAGAAACACAGACTAGCCAGTGGAATAGAAGCTGTGAACTAACAGTCTAGAAGCAGTCAGAGGGACAGCTTAGAATTCAACTCCTGGGAGATTAAAGAGACTCAAGGCAGTCCGTCTCAGACTGTAGGGAACCAGGCTCACTTGCTGATGCCAGTGGCTTCAGTGGACTTCCACACTCATGGAAAGGGGGCAGACAAAAAGACTGTAGGCTGCTGACTTGGGCTATGACTTTATCAGAAGCTACTGGTCCAGGAGCCAAGAGACAGGACCAACCTCATCTGCAGTAACTCAGCCCAGAAGCTGCTGGCCCCATACTAGATCTGGCCACCCTAATAACTCCTTGGGGCAGCAACATTCAAGCACTGGTTGTAAGACCCAGAAAGGGTCTTAGATATAATGCTGAATGAAGAAGAGAGAGAAATCTAAACAGAATGCTTCCCATGCCAAATAAACCTACAAACTGAATTGCAAAACACATGAAGAACTCTAACCCTAAGAAAAACAATCAACAATCAGAGTAGAAATTCACTTGAGATGAAATTTATTTTATAGTGCAAGGAATTTTTAAAATAAGTGATTTCGAGAAATATAAGAGATAATGAAACCAAAATAGGCAAAAATGCAACATCAGGTAGATATAAAAAAAGAACTAATTAGAAATTATAAAATTAAAAAAAAACTTTTGACATTTAAAAGGCACTAGAGGATAAACAACAGAATAGACACAGTTGAAGAATAAGTGATTTTTAAGACAATACTGAAGACTTGACTCTGAATGCAGCAAAAGATAAAAAATATAAAAGAGCAGTTAAGAAGAAAGGACCTATATTAAGAGACTATAACATTAATATAATAGGAGATTCAGAAGATGAGAATCTAGTGAATGGCTGAGAAATAATAGTTGATCAGAAAAAAATTATGAATTTTCCAGAAATGAAGGCATGACTTCTCAGATCAAGAGTGCACACCTAGATATAATATAGTGAACCTGTCCCTACTGAGGATAAAGGGACAATCTTAAAAGCTACCAGAGGAAAAGAGACAGATTACCTACAAACGAAACAGCAGACTGCTCATAAACAAAAATGGAGTCCAGAATGCAGAGTGGGGGAAATGACTGTCAACACAGAATTTACCCCCAGCCACAAATATAAGTAAATAGAGCAAAATAAAGTCATTTACCACCCACAGACCCCTGCTAAAAAAGTAAAGGATGTAGTTCAGCAAAAAAAAGTGAACTCAGAAATAAGGTGTGAGCTAGAAGAAAAAACATAAGCCCAAGAACTAACAAAATATGACAATAAATTTAAATGATTATGGCAAAAAAAAATCCCTATAATGTAATATATTTACTTATGTGTATATAAAAGGTTATTTACTGTGTCACTCTTTGTGACAGCAAAAGGGTGGAAACAACCTAAATGTCCACCAATATGGGACTGGTTAAATAAATTACAGTCATGCTCCACAAAACAACGTTTTGGTCAACGCTGAACTGTATATACGATGATGATCCCATAAGATTAGTACCATGTAGCCTAGGTGTGTAGCAAGCTATACCATGTAGGTTTGTGTAAGTACACTCTATGATGTTCACACAACGACGAAATCGCCTGACGACGCATTTCTCAGAAAGTATCCCCAGCATTAAGCAACGCATGATTATAGTAATCCATATATTGGACTACAATGCAGTTTAAAAAAATGAAGAAGCTCTTTATGCACAGACTTGAAAGGACTGTTAAGATATATTTAAGTGAAAAAAGCAAGTGAAGAACCAGTGTGAATAAGATGCTATTAGCTGCACAAAAAAG